GCAAATATATAATTTTTAATGACTTTAATCCCAGGACTCGTTGATAAAGACTTGTGTCAGCTCTGTAAAGATGTTTGTTGAAGCTACAGAACATGAGACCCTTTAAAGACTAAACATCTGTAAGTACAACAATGTTTTAAGTCATATCCAATTTTCAGAAAAGCAGCTTATATTAATCCTCAAACTGGATCATCGTTATCTGTTTACATGTAAATGACATCCTGAGTATTACCATGGAAACTGAGCAGCCGGAGCAGAATTAATCATTCCTAATATCACAGAGGAGGTATTTATTCATATTGTTGACAAAACAATGAATTATCTCACCACATGGTCCATGGAATATATCTGGAGTTGGATTTATCCGGATGTTGTGATTCAGCTGAATTCCTGTCTTAGCTGGACTGGAATCAGGAATCCACAGCAGGAATTTACCTCTGGATTTGTGTTTATCTCCAAATCCCCGACACGAATCTTTTCTCCAGATCTAACATCTCGCTTCGCGTTTTGGCAGCAAACTGTTCGTAACTGTTTAAACTGTTCATGCAGGTGAATCATTAAAACAGCAGGAGTCAGTAATAGTTTAGGCATTAAAAAAGCATGGATTAACTTTGTTTTAAACACACTTTTTAGTGCAAGGTTTATGTATGTACGTCGCAGTGAAAATGGTGTGGAAAAATGTTGCATTTATCAGTTTTTGGTTAAAGACTGAAAATCTAAACAGTGAGTTCAAATGCTGCTAAACTTCATTCATAGGATTAAAATCATTAAAACTCAATTTGTTCTATTTTTAAAGAGATTCATGAGCACAAATCCCCTCAGGGGGTCAAATGTAGAACGATTGAAAATTCAATTCTGATTGAAACATTTAATCGAACCGTTCAAAGGTTTTACGTCTTCTATACATTAAGCACAGAGAAGGGATTAAAAAAAAAGAGGAAACAGGACACAGAGGTTAAAGGCAGTTCTAAAATCCCAAAACGTTTCACGTTTAATCCAGAAAGCATTTCCTCTGGCAGACAGCTGAACAACAGCATTAGTCACAGGAATATTTATCGCTCTTTTTCTCAATAAATTCTCATAATTATGGAAATTCAGACTTTGGACGGTTGTTAAAAAGGTAAGATAGTTATGATCTGTTCTGTTCTGCCATTTTCTAATTTGCACAATCCAAGTCTCTAACTGTTGAAATTATGTTACTTTCATACGCTCTAGAAATGAAACATTGAGTTTACTCAACCAAATTATGTCAAATGGTTCCATTGAACCTACATATACATTTACATTGAACATAACCATACCTATGTATATTTCTCTTTACATTTATGCAACTAGTGGAACCAGTAAACATAACTTGGTTAAGTAAAATCAACATTTTTGTTTTTACAGTGTACTCTATAAGGAAAATTTTGTGTAATTACCTGCAGTTTTCATGTTCCCAGGAAACCAGTGGCTTTACCTTGTGTTTTTTTCTCAATAATTCTTCATGAAATGGTAATATAACATCTTGAGTGCAGTCATTAGAAGAGACAGCTGCACATTTTATATGAAATGTCCCTGGGACAGGAAAAGTAATTACTGGATTTATATAACCTCACCTGGAGCCAAAGCAAAGGAGAGTAAAGTATTCAGTAATGAAGAGCGTCGCCGGGGGGATCTGAATGTTTTCCTAAGATGTTCATAAATCACTGTTTCTGATTATGTTCAACCTGATTGTAATTCTGACTTCATCTTATTTTAATCTTCAGATTTAGAAGGTATTTTATTTGAGAAACTAATCCAAAATACTCTGGTGGTAATAAAAATCCAACAATTATACAAGTTAAAGGAGCAAAGTGTAATAATTCTCCAGTGAAATAAACAGGAAACAGTCTAATGTCTCAATCATGTTAGAAGGATAGTCTCATTGAAACAGATTTCCTTCTCAGCCGGCAGGGGGTTTGTCAGTTTTTTCAAAAATGTCAAAAAGGGACGTAATTAGTGTTTACAGTCAGCAAGCCTATGAGGTTGCCAAGTCTGCGCCCCGAGCTAATGCCGCAGCGCTGATATTTGTAATTTAACACAGGGATACAAAGGCTCCAGAGTTAGAAGGAACCCAGAAGTTATTTCTTGTACCCCTAAGAAACCACGGCACATTTTAATTTTGCTCTATTAATGGGTAAAGCTAGCTTCAGGTTAACTTTGAGCTAACAATGCTAATGGTGAATCAGAAGCAAATAGTTGGTTCTAAAAATATCTAAGCTACTTTTTCAATTACCAACAACTATTACAGTGAAATGTATGTGTGAAGTGAATAATGAGTCAACTGTGGCATTTCACTTCCAATAATGAGTCATTCAGAACTATAGCACCATGCTAACAGCAAACAACTGCACTCCTCTAATGCTTAAGCCATACCAACTGAAAGGTGTGGATCACTGAGAAAACACTTTTAAATTATTATTTCTGATTGTATCTGAGGCCAATCTGAGGTGAAATGTCCAAATATCAGGAAATAAGACTCCAAATCCTTTTGTCTGAAACTACTTTCCCCTCCAGCTGACTTGTACTTCCTGAAACAGGCACATCTGAGCTTTTTACAACTTACAAGGCATTCATTCCTACTAGAGACCACTGCAAATGTATTGATTAAATAAGTTTATTAAGTACTTCCTACCGTAAGCAACCAAAGACCGTCAGAAACAGATTAACTTACAGTGTATGACTCGTCTTTGCTTGTCGTCTAGAATCTTCTGGTGCTGATCTGTAACTGGCAACAGACATGAAACTCAAGGAGCAGGAATGGGAAAGAGACCTTATTTTAAAATAAAAATGGGCTGAAGTAATCAAGTTTGACCACAGGATGTCATTCTTGCTTCATTCTTTCATATTGCACCTTTAATTCTCATCTATCATTGTCTTACATCTTTTAAAATGACAGCTCTAAGATATTAAAAACGGTCTTAAAATTAGTCTAAAGGAGCCATTATTGGCTTTGGTTACAGCATTAAATAATTCCATCACTTTATTTTGGGTCTAACTTTACTAACAGGCTATTTTCAACGTGCTTACATAACTTGTGTAAAATTAAGTTTTTAAAACGACAGAAAAATGGTTTGCAGAGTTCACAAATTATATTATTAAAAGATTTTACAACATATGATGAATTTTCAGTGTTTTATTATATATCTGTACATGTTTTAGAGCAATAATACAACAGATTTCTGTTTTAAATATGAAAATGAAGTTAGTGCTTAGATATGAAGGCAGCCACACTGGCTCCTGACAGCTTGTTTTATTTGAGCATTTCAACAAAACAACATGAAACTTTTATTTCATGGCTTTTGCAGGAATTTTAAGCAAAGATGCTTGAAAACAAAAAATCTGCTGCTGGATTGAAGGTATCACTGAAGAGATTAGCTGTAATAATTAATCAAACAGAGTTGTTTTGACACTGTAGAGGACAACTATAACATGCAAATATCAGACACTGAGCCATGAGTGCCTGATCCATAGTGCTCCTCCATCAGCTACAGCAGCAGAGCCTGTTGCTCTGGGATTAAGCCGAGGCAGCAGGTAAACATTCCTTCTGCTTTACAAGATGCTCATTTGCATATAAGAGAAAATAAAACACTCCCATGGTCACATGGTGCTTGTCACTGCGCCGTGATGGGTGTCATAAACTAGTGACACAATAAGACAACAGAGCCCAGGACTTATGCAATAACACGGTGTAGTATCTGAAATAAAACTAAAGCTAAGGAACACTTAAGCAACTACCCTCCAAAAAACAATGAGACTCTGAGCCTTTAATCCAGGAGAACTCCATCTTTAGCAAAAAATAAAAAAATAACAGAGCCTTCGGCTGTAGCTTAGCTCTGCAGAGGTTTGCAGTGTAACACAAGAGTTTATTCAATCTGTAATTAATCCCCAGTCTCTCTGTCATTCTGCCTCACCCTCTCACTCAGGATAGGGTTTGTTCAAGGTATAGCCGAGGCTCCTGGTTCATGGGGAGGATAGGATAAGAATCTACCTGTGGTGGCATACCTCTAATCTCCCCCATTAATGTATCTATTTGCCCCCTTGTACCGTTATTGTTCAGCTTTCAGAGAAGAACTCAAGTTAATGTTCTAAATAAATCTTTAGTTCTTGGACGGAAGCCAGCGAGCAACACTTGAGAGACCTGCACATCCTGCAGAAGACGTGGAGATTGATGGGACTTCTTTTGGTTGCATGAACTGGAACCATCCAGCTAGTGCAACTAATGTGAGAAACTCATGTTTATTTGTTTAGCTGATCCTAACGATACAGTGCAGCAAATGAACATGCTAACTTGTCACAGAAAGGCCAGAGCCAGATTTGAACCTCTCACCTTTCTGCAGTGATTTAACAGCGCTACCCACTGTACCACCACGCTGCACCATCAACTTGTAGCTTTCATTTTTGCTGTTGTTTTTTTTTTTTTGCACATTCTCTTGCAGCCTCCCAAATGTTTTCTTTATCTGAATTCTCAACAGTCAGGTGAAATTAGATCACATTTAAGTCAGCCTTTGCCACGGGCGACTTCTGAAAGCAGGGCAAGGCGCCCAGTCCCTGCCACTGGCTGTGATCACTGGAGGATCTTATGTCCCATTCAGACAAGCAACCATTCAGAGGCAAAGAAAGACTGATGAAGGCAGGGAAAGAGCGCTGCTGGCTGCCAGCGAGTGAACCAGAGGACCTTCAGGAACCTGTTGCAGCAGGTTTTTTCCTTCTGTATATCTTATTGCTGGGCTAGTCTGGACGAGTGCCAAACACACACACACACACACACACACACACACACACACACACACACACACACACACACACACACACACACACACACACACACGCACGCACGCACGCACGCACACACACACACACACACACGCACACACACACACACACACGGATGATATTCTGAGCTGCCAAAAAAATAACTGAAACCGACCCATCAACTATTTTCATACCTACTTAGTCAGTCAATCTAATCGAAGCGCCTCATTGTCAGGGCGAAGGCTGGAAGAGGAGCACAGATCTGAGAGGGAAGATGGACCCAAGGGACAATCAGGGTCTGAGTTTGAAGATCTGAAGGAAAATAAAAACAACAACTCTTGAAACTAAACGCTCGGTGAGTTTATTTGACAACAGTGAGAAAAACCTTTCTGTTTTTGTTCTTAAATTTGATTTTTATCAAGAGGACTGTTGCAAAAGCTGAATTTTGTCTAAACTTTTTGAACTTTAAACAATACCTTCTTGTGTTTAAACTCCAGATGGTAATATGCGCTTCTGATAATTATCACATGATGATTCTGACACATGAGGAACAGAGACACCTGCTGCTGTCCTCTGATGTCAACATTCAAATTTTTTTGCAGAGAAAATCAGAGCTAATGCATCCATCCCTGCACTGATGCTCATAAATGACCAGTGGTGCGTTTCATCCCAACATTTCAGCAGAATGCATCAAACTATTTAACAACTAAAAAAGTCTCTTAAGACAGACAATAAATAAAACTCATGAAAACAAGAGAAGTCTGAGACAGGAGTCAGATTAGAAAGATTCTCCATGCTATTAGTGAAAGTTCACATTTTTAGCAAATTTCCTAAAAAACACTAGTTTGTGCACCAGTCAAAAGCTTCTGGGACCACAGGTGTACGCTGCACCCAGAATGGGTTTACCCCTCAGCTGTGGGCCAAACCAGCAACTGTAGCATCATCCCAAACACGGAGATAAGACCGTGGAGGGAAATGATCGCTCTGTTGTGTCGACAGCTAGTTGGCTTCCGCTCCTGGTTTGTTTATCTGAGAGCAGGGTGAGCACTTGTTTCAGGTTACGTTGCCAAATTCAGATCAGAAGTCTGGAAAAGTGAGTTGGGATCTGAGATTAAAAACGTGATTTAAAAGAAGAAATTTCAGTAAAGGAGTCACTTTGAAGGTTTTCTGTTGTTAAACTGAGTTCATCACATCCACAAAGATGCAGCTGGATTACAACTACATGAACTTTGGAACAAACAATGGAATGGAGCAAGAGTTGTCACAACACAAAAATTAATTCAGCACGTTTTGAGCAGCATGAAAATAAGAGAAAGATGAATGTTGACTTTGAATCTATCCAGTTAATAATTTGAATGTTAAACACGCAAAACTAAAAAAATAGATTAATCTATGTATTTGTTAAACAATCTTTTATCATATCTAGCAAAAAATGTTGTTTTAAAATAAAAAATATAAATAATAATAATAATAATAATAATAATAATAAAAACCTTACTGTTTGGTTGCAAGAGAAACATCAAGGCACAGGCTGAGCTTTTATCGGGATTTTCTGGTAACATTTTACAATACGGATCCCTTTAATAACACAAGTAATGCTAATAAAAGAAGCCATATTGTAAAGTGTTGCCAATTTTCTGCTACTCTCTAATATAAATTTATGTTAGCGGCAACTAAAATCTGTATTTTTATTGTTTCTGAGGCTTTAATTGTGATTATGCTCAAAAAATATATGCCAACAATATTTAGCAATGCAAGATGTTACAACCCAACCTAGGACAGTGGTGGGACTGTGGGTTGTAAGGTTGTAACAAAAATGGAGACCAAACAAGAGGAGTGGGGATTTAACAAACTGATTTATTTACAAACTAAAGTTTTAGTAATGGATGGATGGATGAATAATGGCCAGTGCGGTCTCTCCACTGCACAGGAGAGACCCGAGTTCAAACGGAAGATTAGCAGGTTTATAGGGGCACACCAAGCCCAGATGCACCCACCTGCCACTAACAAGACCTGCAACAGAAGGCAAAAGAAGCAAACACATAAAGAGACACAGCAACAGAAAAGACCTAATTGATGGTGGGGTCAACAAAACATGAACATAGGAAGAAGAACCCCATGTTCTTTTAGCTGCAGGCCCATGCATGTTTGCTAACCTCCCCACTCCCAACCCACACACCAGCAAACCCCAGTGCCTGGAGAAAGCACGATTTAAGGCAGTGATCCCCAATTTCCTTCCCAGAGGGCTGGTGTCCATGTTTTAATTGTTTCCCCAATCCAACACACTTGCTTCACCTGTTCAAGATCAGCAAAAGCCTGTTAATCACATGCCAATTAAAATCAGGTGTGTTGAAGCAGGGAAAACACTAAAACATGCTGGATACCGGCCCTCTGGGAAGGGTAAAAGAACAGATGTTGGAACCTTCTGATGTGATGTGCAAAAACAGGCACCAGATTAACCTGTGGTATGGACAGGTCAGAGAAGGTGATGGGATTATGGTCAGTATGGACCACCAGGGGCATACCAGATCCCGTGTGCACCTCCAAGTGCGTGAGAGCCCAAACAATAGCCAAGGTTTCACTCTCAATCATGGAATAGTTCAACTGATAAGAGCTGAACTCCCTAGAAAAGAAACTGACTGGATGCATAATTCCATGTTCAGTGCCAATCACCAACCTGTTGCTGAAAAGGGCGGTCCAGGTGCAGCAAGCACAAAATGGATTTCACATTTTCCAAAGCTTGTTGACTGCAGTCTACTGGTCACACTCAAAGCTGAAAACATTTTATAAAACAGATGACAAAACTAATGGGCCATTCCCATCTGTACCGGGTCGGCCCGGGCCGGGTAGCCCCAGTCGGCCCCGGCCTGGCCCGGTTGATTCCACACATCCTTGTCTTAAGCCCATGTGGGCTGATTCTACCCACCAATCAGAGGCTTGCTCTAATGGAAGGTGTGAATTTGCTGTCAGCAGTGGGTGTGTTGGCCCTGGTCGGCCTGAAGCAGACCCCCTCGAGAAGAGGGCTGAGAATGAGCCTTGGTTGGCCCGGAAAAATACCAGGCCACCCAGATATGTAAACAACCTGCGCTACCCGGCCCGGGCCGACCCGGTACAGATGGGAATGGCCCAAATGTAAGCAAATCCAGCCTGATTGAGATGGTGAAAAACGTTTTTCTTTTCAGATTTATACAAAAAAAATGTTTTTTCCTTTAAATAGATTTAAACTTGATCAATAATTCCCAACATGACTTTTGCTGAATCTACAGAAATAAAATAACATTAAAAATCAACATCAGAGGTTTAACTGTTACATTTTTTTCAGGTTTCCCCCTTTTTCGTAACCTACTGAGAAAGAATCAGAAAACACACGAGGTGTTTACGAGCTTTGTTTGGGTCTTTTGAGTTATTCTTATGGACCGTTCAGCCATTGAAGCTAAATTAAATCTGTGTCAGATCAATTATTTTCCAGGATGTAAACATTTAAATGCAAGCTCCTGTTTTTTTTTTGTAAAACTGATTAAAATTAGGGAAAGTTAAAATGTAATTTTATAATGATCTTTTTATTCTACAAAGTAAAGACAATACGTTTGATTTTAAATAACAAAGTGCAACTTTTCAAACGTGATAATTTTAAACATCACATTAAAATCTGGAGGATCGGGGTGATCTTTAGACTGCATCTGAGCCGCTTCATGTTGCTGACATCGTTTCTGCCAAACAGATGAGAACATTTGTTGCCACAGCGATGGAAAAGACGATCTCTCACCTTTCACAATGACACTTAAGCCTCCCTTGATTCCAACGGAGCGAGCTGTGATTTGCTACTGTCCTCTCCTCACTGGGCTGTCTGCCTCAGCACTGTGCAGCTTTACGTGACCAAGCAGCCATCATGCTTTGTTGGTAGTTTTAATGAGCTTCTGCTTCATGTGGCGTTTGAGGTTACTTTTACTGGAATCAAGGCCACGTGGCCCATGTCTTGACTGGGATTGTGTTACACTCCTGTTGGAGAAAGACCCTGACTCGCGCAAGTCCCCCAGTTTTAATGGATAGACTGAAAATGAACTAAACTGTCTTGTTGATTTAGAGAAGAAATGATCTCAGAGGGGCCCGTGGACACAAGAGCTTTGTCATGTCTCCATGGCAACGCTATTAACCACTCAGGTTTCCCATACAAGGACACAACAGTAGCTAGTCGGAGCTGGGATTGAACTTGCAACCTTCTGATTACTGGACAACCCGATGTCCCCACTTTACAGCGATCCTCATGCTGGGAAAGCAACTAGCGACAGTGGAGAGGAAAACATTCTTTCTTTATTTCACCTCTCATATCAACAATCTACAAACAAAGTCAAAGCAAGATTAGCTTTTCTTTTTCGTAACAAAGCTTCCGTCACGCACGCTGCCAAACACATCCTTGTTAAAATGACAACACTACCAATTCTGGACTGCTGTGACATCATCTACAAAATGGCTTCATGCTCTGCCCTAAAAAAACTGGACATTCTTTATCACTCAACCATACATTTTGTCACTAATACCCCCTTCCACACTCACCACTGGGATCTCTATAAACTGGTGGGCTGGCTCTATGGAACTAGGATTGGGACAATATTCAGCGTAACTTGTACCAAGTTTTGTAACTGCAAACATGTTTCATCACATGTAACTTTGGATTCGTAACTTGTAACTTTGGATTCGTAACTTGTAACTTTGGATCTGTAACTTGTAACTTTGGATTCGTAACTTGTAATTCTCAATTCGTACTTGTATTCTTGTTTTGTAACAGGAACATTGTATTTTGTACATGTATTTTTTATTTTGTAAAAGCAAACATTCATTCAGAAACATGAAACTTTTGTTTTGTAACTAGCAGACTTCCAAATTGAAAAAATCAAAGTACAAGTTTCAAATCAAAACTCACAAAACACACATTTCATTCTACAGGTACAAACCTCACATCCTACAATGTTACGGATCATTTAGAATCGATTCTAAATGATCCGTAACATTGTAGGATGTGAGGTTTGTCCCTGTAGAATGAAATGTGTGTTTTGTGAGTTTTGATTTGAAACTTGTACTTTGATTTTTTCAATTTGGAAGTCTGCTAGTTACAAAACAAAAGTTTCATGTTTCTGAATGAATGTTTGCTTTTACAACATAAAAAATACATGTACAAAATACAATGTTCCTGTTACAAAACAAGAATACAAGTACGAATTGAGAATTACAAGTTACGGATCCAAAGTTACAAGTTACGAATCCAAAGTTACAAGTTACGAATCCAAAGTTACATGTGATGAAACATGTTTGCAGTTACAAAACTTGGTACAAGTTACGCTGAATATTGTCCCAATCCTAGTTCCATATAGCCCTCCTTTCACACCCAGAGACCCCATCACTGGCTTCTTGTTGTCTACAAGACAAGACACCTCTCTAGCTGGCCTCGCTTCTTCACCTCACCCTTAATAAACATCTCTAGTGACTACGTTCAGCTCAGCATCCCCAACACCTCTACAGTCTTTGGCCACAAATCCTTCTGCTTTGCAGCAGCATATGACTGGAACAATTTACAAAACACCCTTAAAACTTACAAATTCACACCCCTTACAACCTTTAGATCAAAACTTCTCCAGATTATAACTGACTGCTGCTCTTGTTGATCACCCAGATCACACTTATTTACATACATTCACTCACAGATTCAATTCCCTGTATGATGTAATGATTCTCCTACATGCATATGTATATGTCCTTTTATTTTTCAGACCAAGATTCAAATGCCAGTTGATAACCTGTTATGTCTGATCTGTTATATGCTTATCTGTATTTTTGTTGTATTTTTTGTTTATTTATTATTATGATTATTTTATTTTTTAAATTTTACTTTATTTTTTTTATACATTTTTTGTTTTTTTGCACTTCCTTCCAAGACCTCTTGGCCGGGTCATGAGAACATGTTCTCAAACATTTTACCTGGTAAAATAAAGGTTGGAAAAAAAACATTTTACAGGAAGAAACCTACAACAGAATCTGGCTTCAGCCACCCGCCACGACTCACTGGGGATTTGAAAGCACACACACACACACACACACACACACACACACACACACACACACACACACACACACACACACACACACACACACACACACACACACACACACACACACACACACACACACACACACACACACACACACACACACACACAAGCAAAAATAAAACTATTTTCCATAATGTTATGTGAAACTTATCTGATTTTTCTCAGAGCATCAGTGACTCCCTCAATCCACACGTGAGCAGACATTGGTGCAGAATGCCCCGCTCCCCGAGGTTTTCCCTCAGCAGCAGAAAGTCTCAGGCGTCACCCCCTCAGGTCAGTTTACTCACCTGTGCGCCATGTGGGACCACCTGCCAGCAGATGGCAGGAACTCAGGTACACGACTGCCACAGGTTTTCCTGTTTCACTTCCCCAAAAGAACCCTTCAGTGGGATGCAGAATCACCTTGTTTGTAGTTTCTGAGTTAAACAGTGCTGTGCTACGTTAGATAATCCTCTTTGGTGGATTTTCTAGGGTCAGACATCCAAACTGTTTGATTAGGATTAGTCAGTATTTTACCTGCTGTTGAAAGGAGTCAGAGGAATCCCAGTTTTGGGAATCAGGGAGAATGTCTTACAAGGGCAGGCTCCATACAAGAGGAACTTTCTGCTCTGATTTAAAAGGTTCCATTCTAAAACTTGTCACTCACTTATGCACAAGATATTTGTATTTTCACGCTTGGTGCTAATTGTGTGCACTAAAACGAATCAGTAAGGAAAACGGAAGGTTAGGTTTGTTCTGTGTGATTCATGAGCCAAGGGGAGATTTCCTGATCATGTAAAAGTATTTAGACATTTTATTTCCTTCTTGGCATAAAAAGAAAACCTTAGATTGAATGAAAATGTTTTCTTTTTGGTCTCAAACATTAGTAACTTCATAATTGGTGATGTTGCAGAATGAAGACAGAGACGCCTGTTTTCCTGAGCAGGACATCAACACTTTCAGCTTGAGGATTGCAGCTCAAAATAGAAGACACAGCGCTGATGGGACCCTTGGTTCTGGGTCAGATCGAGACCCCGTGGTCCGTTTCTACCCGTACTGTCGACAGCTCAGTGATGGAGCAGCGGAGGCTGAAGGCTACCTCCAACAGAGCACCTCCTCCTTCGGCAGCCTGCAAGAAGTTTTCAGCTCTGACACGTGTTCTGGCAGTGGTGATGTGCCAGCAACCTGGGAGCAGTTCAACAGCAGCGTTCAGGTTCTTAAGATAATAACACTTGACTGTTATTTCTGAGGAGGATTTACTGTGTTTGTAGGAGTGAGTCTTATTTGGAAGAATAAGGGGGGTGGCGGAGAGATGCATACGTCACCTTTTGCATCTTTTTGTGCTGCCATGTGGGCCTCACGCCAAATGTGAAGAAAATCCATCCATCCGTTTCCTGTCAGTGTTTGGTTTTAGGAATTAAATAAAAAAATAGAATCAGAAAAGAGGAAATTAGAATAGAACCACGTCTCACGTGTAAGGGAGATCTGCTGCTGGAGGAACAGCGGCTCCACTCCAAGCTTCGCCCATATTCTGGAGCTTCTCAGCTTATAGTAGCCTGAGTGGGGGATGAGTAGATGTGGTTAGCTTTGGATCGTTTTCTTAAAGTGACAGCGCTCTGAAACAGGTCATTCTGGAAGGAACCTGCTGAAACAGCTTTTTATGTGAGAGGGATTTTATGCAATAATACTTGTTTGGATTATATAAAACTACTATATTTTATGACAAACTCATATTGTGCCCCCTTTAAGGAAACACATTTTCAGCTGCTTTTCTGCACAAAAACATGTTTACTGATTTATTTATTTATTTTTGGTTGCAGAGTTTATACTCCGACCCACCAGTCGCACCTGTGGAACCTTATAGCTCTTTCTCTCAGAGTTATCCATCCTACAGCTCACTGAGCCCTCTGCAGCAGGTACCTGAGTGCAGACTGAGATGCGGAAACAAGCATGAATCATCTATAACAGCATGGTGTAATGATGTGTGTGTGTGTGTGTGTGTGTGTGTGCTCCACAGGTCTCATCTAAGCTCTATGTTAATGATAACCAACCAGAGAACTCTAAATATTCCCTTCAGAGCCTCTCTACTAAGTCACATGTGGAGAGCTCCACACAGTCCCTCTTCCCCAAGCCCATCTACTCCTACAGGTAGGAGACTCTACATGAGCATTTTTAATCTAGTCATATTTAATGCAAAAATGCGCAGATTTCTGATATCTGGTAATCTGTTGCAAAAGCTGACATTTCACTGCATGTTGATGAGTTATTATTGTCTCCATTCCTGCAGCATCTTGATTTTTATGGCTCTGAAGTACAGCAAGACAGGAAGTCTGCCAGTCAGTGAGATCTACAGCTTCATGACGGAACATTTCCCATATTTCAAGGTAAAACCTGCTCTCTCTTCACCAATATTTAAGCCTTTATCACATGTGAATAAGAACATTTCCATTTCTTTTCTAGTTTCTCTTTTGCTGTTTCAATAAATCTTTATGACACAATTCATTCACGTGACACCAACAGGCTTTCACAGTAGCCTGTAGCTAAACCATTTCACGCCGACATCACTCATGCCCATAAAACCCTGCTGTCACACCACACATGGCATCCTGTTGAGGAAGCAGCTTGCGGACGTGGCTGTGTGATAAAACTATAGCCCAGTGCATTAATGTTAATTACATTAGGGCAGCTGCAGGGTTGGAGCTCCGTTTCAACCCTGACTTTCCAAAAAGATTCCACTTTTGGAAAGAGCTCAAACACTTTCCAGCATACATATTCAAGAAGGCACTTTACAGATAATCTGAGAGCCCATCGGCTACAGCCTAATGACATAGAGATGTTTTTTTAATCGAAATTTCCGTGGTGATGGCTGATTTCCAAACAGGTGCCTGAAACTTGGGCTGCAGGGTCAGAAAACACACAAGACAGATGATTAAAGATACCCTTCAGTGGAAGTCATATACATTATTTTTTTAAAAGCTGTTTGAGAGACATGTTTCAAAAAGATTCAGATTATGGCCAAGTATGTTTAACTCGAGCTCAGTTCAGTGGGCACTTGTTATGGCATGCAGAAATAATTCACTGCCAGAGCAGATGTGGGCAAATATTCCTCCTGCTGTTGCTTGATTGATCCTAATTATAAAGTGTGGTTGAGATCTTTAGCAAAGCTGCCTTTCTCATCAGCGGGTGTGATTTCTACATGATTGTGTTTAAGACGGCTCCTGATGGATGGAAGAACTCGGTGCGGCACAATCTCTCCCTGAACAAGTGCTTTGAGAAAGTGGAAAACAAGAACGGGAACACTTCTCGTAAAGGTTGCCTCTGGGCTCTCAATCCGGCCAAAGTGGAGAAGATGCAGGAGGAGCTGCACAAGTGGCGTCGCAAAGATCCTCTGACTGTTCGCAGGAGCATGGCAAGGCCAGGTGGGTCCAACAGGGAGGTCAAAAAGTTTCAGCATCTAAAGAGGAAAAATAAAAATGAGTCTTTTCAGGAGACTGATTTAACTAAAATGATCAAATGTTACTCATGTAAACCTTTTGTTTGTAACAGAAGATCTTGATCGTCTTTTGGGAGAAAGGCCAGACAAGGTCAGGTCTTTGCAGCATCACAACGCCAGAGTTGCCCCTATTTACAGCCCCAACTCATCCTCTTCAACTCCTGCCCAGCCTCAAGCAGCACGCCAGTCACAGTATGCCCCCATTCAGCCGCAGCAGCCCCACTTCCTCCCCCTGGCAGCTGCTCACCCCAGCAATTCATTTTTCCTGTACTCTCCCTGTGGACAGCAGCCCACAGCGGGTGTCCCATCAGCCCCTGGATGTCTGAACTCTCCCGTGGCTGGGAAGATGCCACCTGTTTACAGCGTTACATCGCCCGACTACAGCACTGGACCGAGAGGCATGCAGGAGCTGCTGCAGGAGGGGGACACCGCCTACGACATCGATACGCTCAACCCAAGTCTCACTGACCTGCAGCTGCAAGGTGAGAGCTGCAGAGAGACACCATTTATTAGATATCCGTGCAATGCTGGGATATAGATCATGATATCAGGAGTGACTTTGCATAAACTACTACAGTTTTTCGGATGAAAAGTACGTACAGTATAAGAATGAATGACAGCAGAACATTAATGCTTGTGTACTACCTCACAGTTGAGTGGTTCCACGTAACAGAAACTGCAGATGTGGGTGTAAACTCAGACCTTTTCTCTTGTGGATAATAAGCAATGCTCATCCTATATTCTTGTTTTCTGCATTTACAGGCAGCCTTTGGGAGGAGTTAAGACAGGAGAGCTTGGTTTCAGAGCCACGCCTGACCTCCACCTCCTTTGTCCTGCAGGACCACCACGTCCAGACCAGCTGCCTACAGCCCCCACCTTCTTCCAGTCACACCTCTGCAAGGTCTGTGGGTGGTTGTTGCAAAGCAGCATATGAGGATGAGGACGTTGACAGAAGCTACTGGAACGGATGGCATCCTGTGGGTTATTCAGGAGTGGAGAGTTTGTCTGGACATCTAACCTCCTGCACAACATCTGTCTCTTTGATGTAAACATTTCCGTCAGCTCCCCTGTTTTTCTCTAAGCTTTTGTTTTATTCTCGTTAATATTAAACAAAAAATAATTAAAGGTGTCACAAATGAACAAGCAAACAGCAGAATGTTGAATTAAAAACATCCCTTTACTTTATTTTGACATTTCTGTTGTAAAATTTGGTAGCTTGTGTATTTATTAACCTGGAAACCATGTTTAATTTTTCATGTAAAAAATGTCTCGTTAAAAAAATAATTTCAAGAATGTAAAGGATTCACTTTCTCGTTTGTAACTGTATCAGCTCCTTTTCTGAAGGGAGTAAATGAAAAAAAAAACCTGCTGAAATTGCTGTTCTATTTCTTAGATTTTCAAAGTACCAATGAGTATTTTTATGAAACGATCGTATGAACAACACACAACTTTATGCTAATTCTCAAGGTTTCTGAGCTTGAGCCTTTAGTTTTTTAACTTACGCACCCAGAGAAACTATTTTATCAGTTGTTTAAAGGGAAACTAGGCAGCTTTGGCTTGTTTCTAGCACCCCCTAGTGTCCATTTAGTAGAACCAAAAGCAAAACTTATCTTTTCACTGTGTGTTCATCTTTTTACTGTAACACCTTAACCAAACAGCTGAAATGTCTCCTCAACTTTCATTAGTTTCTACAGGAATGATTCAAATGATATTATGATGACACTGCATGTATGTACAGGATGATTGCTAAATGAAACAAATCAGCTGTGTTCATGATGTAAAACATGCAGGAAACAGACTGCAGTGTCAGGTATGTCAGCTCTGAAGTTGCAAATGCGGCATTCTGTGTATTCTGGCCAGAGGGGGGGGGGGGGGGGGCATTTCAGCACATACTGGTTCAAGAAAATGATTGAAAAACATAAAAAAGTTGAATAGTATCCCTTTAATTAAACGCCCTATAAAGGGTGATGGCAGCTTTAAATGATTCAAAAGTTGTCTCTCATTTACGAATTTGATCAAACAAACCATTTTCTGTGATTTGACATTGACTGGGCAAACAGTGTAGTACAACTGTTGTTACAGGAGATGGCAGCAAAGACACTATGTGAAGTTTTCTTTGTTGCCTAGGAGGAGGAAATGTTAAATTGCCTTTTTTTTTTTAATAAAAAACGTTATAAAGGACAGCAACATCCCAATGGCTGTCGTTTCTAATCCCTTATTTATGTGTAAAAAAATTAAATGTCCGCAAAAAAAATCCCAATTTTTATTGCATTAGTGAAATTTATCACAAAAGTTTACATGTTTTAATATTTTGATCATTAAAACATTTCTCAGAATCGTAGGTTACACAGTGTTGAGTTGGACAGAAACCTTAAACAGTCGCCTGATCTTTGGCTAACATTTATTTCTGACGCTTCAAAAAGGCTATTTGTTCAAAAACACCCCTGATGAACATGGAAACATGAAAACAAACAATGCACCCACGGACACTATGTTCACATTCTTCGGATGTCAGACGAGATCGCTCAGAAATGTGCACTTCTAAGTAAAAATGTAATCAGATTTCTATCCAAACTATAAAATCTAAAACACGTCTGAATTCAGACTTCAAATGAAATAAAACAATGATGACCAAATGGAGCTGACGTATAAACCAACAGTTTGTTCAGACACTGCATGTATTGGCTGCCCACACGCTCACTAGTGCAAACTGGTGATAAAACTGGCAGAAGTGACTGTTCCTGCAGCAGGAGACGGGATAAACTACTGCCAGTCACGACGTGTCCATCAGTCCATGTGTTTCTGGTCCTGAAGTCGTAGGAAAATGTCTTGGATCTAACTGGAGTGGTGTTCCTACGGCCCTCCAGAGTAGGAATAATCGGCTTTGTTGTGCATCACCAGCTTGTTGTCCACAAAGTAGAAGCTGTCGGATTGCGTCTCGTAGGGGTGTTGTATCATCTCACGCACTGAGAAAAGAGAACACACTGAATCCTGTGCTTGTGTGTGCTGAGACATTTCTTATCTTTATACTCACTGATTTCCTCAGACAGGGTGGGGAACTCATAAATGTGCTCGCATGTGTTCTTGCTGCTGGGCATGCAGAAGCCAAACTCAAAGTCAAAACTCTTTAGCAACTTGTCTCGGAAGTAGTGTCTCTCTATCATGCGGAAGTTGTTGATGGGGGCGTCTCCGACTGTGAACTCCACCCTGCAATAGCGCACAGCGATGATAATAAATGTTTTAAAGGGGAACTAGGCACTTTTGGCATGTTTTTAGCCCCCCTAGTGTCCGTTTGTAGAACTGAAAGCAAAACCTCGTTGTGCGTTTGTCTTTTTAACACATTAATCTGACAGCTGAAACATCTCCTCAGCCTTCATTAGTGTCTACAGGAGTGAGTCATCACTAAATTAAACAAATCAGCTGTGTTCATGATCTACAACATACAGGAAATGCACTGAAATCAGATTGCAGTGCCAGGTTTGTCAGCTCTATCTTTTCTAAGTCCCAGCAGAGAGGCCGCCAGTCTGAAGTTGCAAGTGGAATATTCTGGCCACAGGGGGACGATAGGGGCTGGGTAGCATTTCATTAACCAAAGGGTCATTTTAGCACATACTGGTTCAAGAAAATGATTTAAAAATATGAAAAAGTTGCCCCTTTAAACAACAACAAAAACAACAACAACAAAAAATAATTGAACGGCTTGAAGTTCAGAGATCTTGAAATTAAAATCAGAGTGGATTTTTGAAATTCCTTTTTTTCACTATTTTCTATCTTTTTTGTTATTGCTTGTAAAGATAAAGCAAATGTTGTTCAGAGATCTAGTCAATATGTGGAATTACTGAAAAAAAAATACAGTTTTTAGTGATAAATTATAAATGACCCGCACTTGTATAGCACCTTTCAAAGTCAGAGGACTCCAAAGCGCTTTACACTAAAGTGTATCATTCTTCCATTCACACACACATTCACACCCTGGTGGTAATGATCCACACTGTATCTACAGTTGCCCTGGGGCACACTGTCATTTACTTGCAAATAAGCATTGTTCAAACTTCTCACAATATTTTGGCATCTTTTTCCCCCGTAGACGACACCTTATAGCTAGTGTTACACAAAGTGGGTGGAGCTCCACTCTTCACCCATCTAAAAAATAACCCTAACCCATCACAACACATTATCATGGTGATGCATTAAATTAAGAGTCAAGGTTTGTTGCACGCTGCAGACTTGACTGTGAGGTTCGAGTCAGCTTTGAATCAAATTAGTTGTGAATCATGAAAATTTAACATAAAAGTTTCATTCAAGCACTTGTGTGTGGCAGATTAAGGCTAGTGCCTGTTTAGATGTTTATAGTGGTTATTGATGTATTTTAGCTGTTATCACTATAAATGAACAGCAGAAACTGCAGCAGCAGTGACAGGAACAGTTGGGTTAAGTTTACACCATGCTCTCTGCTCTCCTCTGTTTGCTTAACACACACACACATACACACACACACACACATACACACACACACACACACACACACACACACACACACACACACACACACACACACACACACACACACACACACACACACACACACACACACACACACACACACACTTTTGACTTACGTGGCTCCAACCTGTCGAAGCTGCAGGAACGCTGGTGTGAACTGGTATCGGACAAAACGCCCGGTGTTTGGGTCACATTGCTTTAGGCATCCTGCAGGAGGAATTCATAATAAGCTCTTTTTCCATCTATAAGAAACAAGTTCATTGTATATGCCTTTGAAATACAGGCTTTCAAATATTTTCCACACAAATATTTTGCAGCTTTAGTCTCCGCAAACAACGCATGTCTCTCTGTGGTTTGGAGCTGACCTGCTGTTGGAGGCTTGGTGATCTCAAACAGGACCGTCCCCGTTTCCATGTCACGGATTTTAAATCTGGTGAAGTCGATCATGTGAACATTTTCTTCTGGAGAGCAAAGGTAATCTAAAAAAATTAAAAACACACACACAACCTTATGCGATCAGAAGCAAAAAGCATATTTTCCTGATTTCACAGGAAACTAGCAATCATTTCATCTACACTCTGTTACGGAAAGTTTGAGCTTTTTTGTAGTTGCAAAAATTTTACACACAAAAGAAAAAAAACCAGGACGATCAGAAAAATCTACTTAAAGCAGAAGTCACCAACTTTTGTGAAGTTAAGAGCTACTTCACCTGTACTGAGCTGCATGATGGGCTACCAGGCAGTCAATACTGACTTTTGAACTAGAATAAGTTTGAATTTAACTAAACTTAATGTATAATAAACATATTTTAAGCCTTTTGTAACAAAATCATTTGGATGAAAAAGGCTCTCTTCTTTGGGCTTGTCCTCTATGAAGGCTCTCAACATCTGTGTCCATGTATCCAAATCCAATTTATTTATAAGGCACTAATAAAAAACAACGTGAACAAAATTGCTGCATAATGAGCACATGTATTGAAGACAGAAATAATACAGTGACGTGATAGTACAGCAAAAACCAACCGAGTCTTCAGGGGAGATTTGAACAAGTAAGAGTCAGCCTGTTTTACATTTGTAGGCAGCTTGTTCCACAACCTGGGACCAATCACCGAAGAGGCTCTGTCTCCTCTGCTTTTGTGTCCCATCTGGGGAAGCACGAGCAGTCAACGTTCAGGTGACCAAAGAGACAGGCACATGCAAAGTCAGTAACTCTGACAGGTAACACGGGACAAGGCCATTTTGGCATTAAAAAAACAAAAACAAAAAAACCTACATTTAAAAATCTATTTGGTACCTGACTGGGAGCCAATGAAGGGCCGATAGGACCGGTGTGACATGATTGTATCTTCTACATTCTCTACCTTCACATCAATTAACTTCATGTCCTCTTTCACACATCCATAAATCTGCTTTTTGGTCTTCCTCTTAGCCTCCTGCCTGGTGTCTACATAAGTAGAAGAATTCTGAGGGTTGGAGTCATTCCAAACCATCTCAGTGAGGCAGAAGCGGCAGTTCCACACCGCAGTCATCGAGTCCATCCTCACCTCTTCAATCACTGTGTGGTATGCTGGAGCCACCACCAGGGACAAGAAGAAGCTGCAGCGCGTGTACGCTCTGCTGAGAAGGTCATTGGCTGCAAACTCCCCTCCCTATAGGACCTGTACACCTCCAGGACATTGAGGCGTGCAGGTCGTATAACAGCTGACCATCAGGCCGGAGGCTCAGATCCATTCAGACCAGAACTTCTCGCCACAAGAACAGTTTCTTCCCCACTGCTGTTGGAACTCATGAGTGACAATCCTAGGGCTGCCCACTCCAGTCGCTTGGTTTCAGTCACATGACCTTGTTTTGTGTTTGCACCTGAACTGATCTGCTCTGATCAGTACCTACACTGTTATGTATATAGTAGCCGTTTCTTTGATTATTGCCACTTAATATTATTATTTTATCATGAGTATATTCTTACTTCCTATATTTGCTTATCTCTTTTTTGTGTGTATCCGTATGTGTGTGTTTGTGTGCTTTGTGTGAGACACCATTCCCAACAGGGCAGGATTAGTCACATGGACTGACTGATTACAATGCACACACACACACACACACACACACACACACACACACACACACACACACACACACACACACACACACACACACACACACACACACACACACACACACACACACACACACACACACACACACACACACACACACACACACACACACACGCACACACACTTATTGGGATTGTGTGCTTGTAAGGCTAATTTTAAAGGTGGAATATGGAACATTTTAAGAAAAAGCAATATTTAAAAAAATAATACCTCCAAGGAGTATTTAGAGGTGTGCAGAATGAATGTACAGGTTTTCCTTTAAAAGCTAAATAAAAGAAATAAACATTTTATTTTGACAGGCACGACACTGGGTTTATGTTTACATCTTCCAACCACTAGAGGGCACCGTTGCGCTTAAAAGTCTGCTCGGCAAGGCAAGGTTGGAACTGTGAAAAATGTGGGACTTGACAAGTCAAGCAGCTGATTCTGAGCCCAGAAAATGTTCTAAACGTATTAGTAGAAATGAGTCCTTAACCTGTAGGACATATCACTGAACTTGGTGGTGGAACGTGTCAGTAGTGAACCAACAATGGCTGGAAAGCTAATTCTGTTGTTGCAATACCACCTCTGAACACCTGAGTTCGCCAGCGCCAGAGTGTCCAAGTTCCACATTCAACCTGTAACTGAATAAATTGATCATTTAAAGAAGCACTTAGTCATTTTCTAACTGTCATTTCCATTTGTAGCCACACCTCACACACGAAAGTGTCTGTGTTTTTGTCCAGAACCACGTGCCACAAGTGGAGCATTAACGTCTGAGGGTTGAGGAGCAGATGGGCTGCTCAGGCTTTATCCCCCTGCTCAGAGATATTTATAAACCTGTTATAACATACAGGAGATAATCCCTGGCACTACCTCGCCCTTCTTTTGAAACATTTACATCCTGTTATTCAACTTACCAAAAACATGCAGGACTTTGATGTAAAACCATACAGCAGAGACTTCAGAGCAATGAGATCCTATGGATTCACTTACGACTAAAGCTGAAGACAGCAAGTTTATCTTATTTAAAGGGAAAGTTTTTACTCCAGTCCTCTGATGGTCAGTAAAGATGATGTTACTGATAGTTTCATTCACATACAGCTGCTTTATTCAGGAATGGGATGAATCAGATTGCATTTGAAACCTTCATCAACTATAAAATCCAGAGAGATTATGCAGAATTTTAAATCTACTTTGAAAAGATCTCTTCACTTGGCAGTTTTTTCCACTTCAATAGCTGTCACATTATGCAGATTTTTTAGGGGAAAAATATTGTTTACAAAGTCCAGCGAGGAAGCCTGGCTAGATAGAGTTGTGTAAATACTTCATTCTCCAGCAAACATCATATCCAATGTAAAAATGAGTGCCATACTCAATGGTACTCTGGCTCTATCCCTCAGCTGTCACTGTGCTCTTACACGCTGCGTAGATGTCTGACAGAGACAGATACTTGGACTGCAGAGGAACACAGGTGGAGCTTTTCAGGAACAAAGCACAGCCAGTAAAACAATTCACTCACAATAAGTAATTCACATTTGTGCATTCCCCAAATACCTGCTTTCCTTTAAATGTTTCCCTTCCTCTAGTGGAGGATCTAAGTACTGCAGGTGATCAAAGACAACTTCAGACAACAGGAAACTTGGCCTTTGACCTCATAGCACCCTCATAAAAACCCATACAAACTCTGCTGCCACCGCTGCATTTGCATAAAACACGATTGATCTACTAATGCTAGCCAAAATTATTTTTGTTTTAATGACAAAAAAAAGCAGAATCACCTGATTATTGTTTGCCATATCAGGATTTAGAAATCAAAGGTAACTGGAGTTTGCAGGTTGTATCAAACATAGAATGTCTTATTTTTGTCTAAAACCTGATTTAAAAGTGACAGTGAGTATTTGCCTTGGCGATAAGGGGCAGCACATACCTAAATCATTGCAAGAAAACAGTATTCTGTGTTCGAGTAAAATATTGATCAGTGGAAGGCCATTAGGGTCAAAAATCCCTGGGAGTGCAATTTCTGAACGAGTACTTCGTCAGATCGTTCAACCTCCATCAAAATGACAATACATCAGACTCCCTTTCATCACTGGCAACGGGCAAAGAAGTAAATGTATAAAACAACAACATTTATTAATGGTGAAAGTTTTGGAACTGCTTGTTACAAATCAGTAAATGCATTTTGTCCTCATGGGCTCCCGTAGAAGGAAACATGGCGCTCAGAGACTTAGACCCGCTTGCTTTAGACACGATATATATGGTTACCGTAAATCCTCTAATATTAGCCTGTAGTAATTAACTGCCGGGTATCATATTTCGGTCGGAGTCGGCGGAGGTGAATAATGGCTAGTATTTTATTGTGGCCGGGTGGAATGTGGTAACAAGCAAGTACGGGGGGCGGTTGTGTCATCCGTCTCACTTCTGATTTGCCAGTGATAGACCGCAAGGGTAACTTTAACTGTGCGGAGATGAAGAGGAGGCGAAAATATGATATCAAGTTCAAAGAGAACGTGCTGATTATGCTGCGTCGGGAGGCAACGCGCTGTGCCAGAGCGTCGGTACTGACACCCGCCGTGAAACGGACATTTAACCAAATTGTGACCTTTACCCTCTTGCAATTTAACCTTCCCCTCACCCCCATCCTAACCTTAACCAGCTTGTGCATGCAAAGATTGTTGACACGCTCCAGACATCTGCGTCCTGAGCACGGCCACAGTAACATTATCAAATCAGGTGTCGCCACCTCAAAAACTAATTTAACACGCGATCGTTCATGTCGGCTCACTTCCTTTTATGTTTTCTGTCTTTTATTCTTTTATTTGTACCTGATGCGTTTTGCTGCTGTGGATCGGGGCGCATCACCTGTTTTGTCCTCGGTGACACACCTAACTGATGTGGCCGGCAAGCACTCCGCTGTTTTTGCGGTCAGTAAATCTTTTAGAACTGCAGTTCAAAGGTAACTCATAAGGTGAATATATATGAACCCAGGTAGCAGTTTTTCTTTAGGATTGAGAGGAGATGCAGGAAGATAATAAACAGGCAGGACAGAAAAATAGTCAAATAAAAACAAGTTAGTTTTTGTACCTGGTGGTTGCAACAAACAGACCCCACTGAAGGTAATCAGAAGTGAGGAACAGAAAATGAAATAATTATTTTAATGTTTAGAGCAGCAGGAACTCTGAGAGGCTACAGGCGCATCAGTGAGTTTGTGGCGCTGCGCAGGGGGAGGGGGGGAGGGCTGAAGCAGAAACTACTGTTGTTAAAAGAAATGTGTTTAACTTTGAAAATGTGGGCGCAATATTAATTGTCAAAAACTCCAGCGAACCATTAGTTCATTTTGCTCAAATAGAAATTGAGGCCTGCCTCTAATTCTGGTCCTCC